ATAATTTGCCCAACCCTCCAAAATAACCCCCACCTGTTTTTAAAATTTTTCTATCTTTATCCCATAAATCCCGGCTGCCTTACCCCCTTTCTTTTACCTACTGCCTCACAATTTTCCCCCACACTCAAAACGCTCTTTCCCACTCCTAAAAAATGTTTTTCCTCCTTGCCCTATACACAAATCACAGCCCCCTATCTCACAAATTTCAATTCCTAAAAAATTTTTCCTTTCCATTTTCCCCCAATACCTCTAACTCCCCTTTTAAATAACGCCCTCCCCTATTTTTAATGACAAATCCATTTTTCTCTAGGCTTTCTTATTGTTAATCTCACCCAAAACTTTTTCTTATTTTCAAAAAAATTTTTTTGATAAAACTCCCCATCTCCATTTGCTCTCTTTTTAATTGCTTCAAAACTCCTTTTAAACTTCTCTTTTTTTTCTCCATATACTCTTCCCCCCTTTTCATCATTTCTACTTTGTAAAAACTTTCATATCTAACTTTTCTCCCTTACTACTCTTTTACACTCATTCCCCAATCGCCCTCTTCCCTCCTGCACCCACTTTCCTTAACCACAAACTTTTGCTGAACACTCTAAACACAATTTTTTAAAACCACCCCAACCTCTTCGACCCCATTGCCTATGCTCCTTTGCCCTCTATCCTCAAAGCTGTTTATATCTTTCCCTAAAATGCCTCCCTTTTAGTTTTAAACCTTCACCTCTCTCTTCCCTGATGCTTCTATTCTCCTTGTTCCCATCTACCCCTTTTTTCTCAGTGTCTACAACTAGAAAGTTCTATATTCTGTGGCCCCCCTAAAACAGTACATCTGAAATCTACTCAACATCTTTTATCTACCAAACATAACCAACAAAAAACCCGTCTTTTTTCCCTACTCATACGTTATACTTATTTTTCCTCTTTTCTTTAAAAAATTATTTCCATAACTAAACCCCTTCTATACAAAATTCAATCAAAGGGCTCCCCTTTATTTACACCTGGACCCCAAACTTCCACCACACCCTCTTAAAAGTTTTCTACTTTTCATTCAAGTCCCCCCACCACAATTACTCTCCACTTGTTCAAAGGCTCCTATACATTCACTTAACTCCCCAAAATTTTCTCTCTTCCTCTCATTTTCCTTTTCCGGTGCATACACGCTTATTATACCCCTTCTCGCATCCACCTTTACTTTAATCCCAAATTCTTGGGAATTTACACTTCATATTCTCTTTTTCTCCTTCCATAACTATCATTTAACATTACTGCCCCCTTCCCTTTTCTCTAACTCTCTATACTCCAATTTTTAATCCCCTTTATTTCCCCCCACGAAACTCTCCTACCCCCCCTTTAGCTTTGTTTCGCTTTGGGGGCCCGGACACCAACTTTTTTTCATTCATAACATCACAATCTCGTTTTTGTCATCCCACACATCCACGACATTTAAAACAACCCAGTTTTATAAAGTTTTTCTTTTCTCTTTTTTTTAAATTGTATAAGGAAAGG